CCACGAGCAGTGTGCCCCTCTTCGTAGGGGGGTCCCACCACGCCCCCCCTGTCCACGTCCTCTCCCCACTTGAGTCGTCTAACGTTTACCCTTTTTGCTTTGACCTGAACTTGTGGGACGTTTTGGAGCAGATCCTACGGCGTTCGATGTGGAACGTGTTCCGATTGGAGTGGGAGTGCATCCAGTGCCTAGGTGGCGCGAAGGCTGTCCGGCTAGACAAGGGATCCGACGCCCTTCGTGTATGAGACCGATCGTGGTCATGATGGTGTTTGTGGTGGCTGTAGTAGTCTGACAACGTGAGGTTGGGGGGGGAGAGAGTTGTTGTACATACGTGTTGGTGGCAATCGCAAGGAGACTTGAGATCGGAAACAGGGTTCCACGACATGTGAGGAATTGATGTTCGCGGTGGTTTTGCGCCTTGACGTGGCTGGGGAGAGAGAGAGAGGAGTTGGCTCAAAGTTGGTGTTGTAGTCTATCCTTTTTACGTCCCTTTCCCAGCGATGGGTGGTACGATTAATGCGTTACATATTTTGTTGTCCGGCGTTTGCGCGGACATTTTAGTTTCGTTTTTTCGTGCCCATGCAGCAAACTGATGGTTTTTCGTGTGATGCCCTCTCTGCAAACGGCGCCGATGTGCGACGTAGACCAGAAAACGGTGCTGCTGAAGATGTGGGAGCCGGATTGATACGGATTTATCGTCTGGATGTGTTGCCGTCAATGTTGTGCTTACGTTTTATAACCGAAGCCACTTGAATTTGAAAGTGTAGAGTGTGTTGTTTCTGCCATTGACAAAATTTCTTGCTAATTTTCGTTTTTTTTCGGGCTGGCGTATTCGAAAAAGTGTTGCTTGTGGGGTGTGTAGCGTTGCCATTTCTTGGCTCTGCTCGGTATTCCAGGTGTGTGTGCTTTTTTTTCATGGGCAAGCACCTCTATCGGCAAAAAAAAGAGACGCCGACTTCTGGCCCATGGATGGTAAGCCATGGTATAGGGGACGAACGAAGCATGCCAGGCGGAAAAGGTCCGAGAGAGAACAGAAGCTTGGGTGTATCCTTGCTGCTGTCGCTGTTTCTCCATCCACTCGAGGGCGTACGAGCTCATCCTGTACCCACAAACAGCTAGAGCATAGCGCCTCTTCCTCCTCCATGAATACACCCGATCCCTGCCCGCGGGGTGTTACCGGAAATGCTTCGTTCTGACAAGCGTGTGTTGGGTCATCGATTTGTCGAGAGCTGGTTTGTTGTTTGTCAAGTCTTGTCATTGCCACGTGCTCTGGTGGACTTGACTGCTACAGCTTGTGCCCTTCGTCCCGGTGTTTTGGCTGAGGATGGTACGCAGCAGCTTGGATTTTTGTCGTCTTCGTGTGCAGCAAGAAGGGGTTCCGTCCGTTCTGGCCGAAGACTTGCGGAAGTTTTTCGGTGCTGTCCGAAGAGGGACGAGGTTTTTCGAGTTTATCTACGGATTAGAGAGGGGGGGCTTCGTATCCATTGTCCTCAACCCTAGCCCCACCCTAGATCCGCTACTTGAACCAAGATTAAAAAAAACATATTCCTTGTACTTGCACCAAGATTAAAAATGTTCCGGCGAAGGCTACTGCCGAAGAGTCGAGACGGCTCTGATATGGTTGGTGCCTTGAGCATGGGAGTGTATGGATCACCGGGGTGATGAAACACACCACAAGCATTTTTTTGGTTAGTTTTTGTTTTGGCACTCTGTGTACAGGTGGCATACCTTCGAAACGTACTCACGTGGCTGATTCGCCTTGGTGTCTACGTCTGTGTATGATGTTGTGCTCGGCGTGAGTTGATTTAGTCACTTTGTTGGGGGGGCGGGGGCGGGGGCGGGGACTCGTATGTCATGCAAGCGACTGTGTACCGGTGTCTGTCCCTGTTCCTGTTGTTTGTGTCGAAAAAGTGTAGGGATGTCCAAACGACCCCTTGCCGAGCGGGTTCATGAGAAATGAGCCCTGTCATCAAGCGGTGGCGCTAGACGAAAACAAGCAGGCAACAGGACCAGTCCGCAGGTGACTGCCGGTTGTGACGTTCCCCAAGCTCAACAGCTCACCCAGCTGACGACGTGTTTTGACTCGAAGAACCCATCCAATCTCAACGGGCCGATCTACAAACCTTTATTCCGGAAGTCTTGGGTGCTTGGGTGTGACCTTCTACACAACGAGCGGCCATGGATCATCGAGTGTGGGGGCACTTGAGAGAGAACCACGCGCACAGAGTAGAAAATTATTGACACCTCGGGGGGTAGCAGTGGGCGGGGGGGGGGGGG